GGCCCGATGCGATCCTTGCACGTCTCGTCAAGTCGTCGCGGAGATTCGTCGCGCGGCCACTGAGACCGTCAAGACGCGCGAATACGCCGACGCCATCTTTGCCGCCATCAACTTCGAGTCGTAAGCGGACGACGTTGTTTTTGTTCTTGTGATATACTTTTTCAGTTTGAAACATGTTGCGCGTATCTCATGACGGGTAAAAACCTCGTTTTTGTCTCTGAATTAAATGCGCTCAAACATTAGCGCCGCCCTCTACACTCTCGCGCGCCCGTCTAGTGCTGTTGCAGGACGACGATGGGGAAAGGGCAAATCCGTCACACATTTGGTCGGGACTTGGATCGCGACCGTACCACTGCGAAAGTTCATGACCTCTTCTTGAAGAAGTGGGCTTTAACGGACACGCTCCGCTCTCGGCCCCTGCGGAGGCGAGAGTTCGCGCTGCGCCACGCATGGGTCTCACATGTGTGGCGCTCGGCAGGTTCGTCAAGCGTTTGGGAGCCCGGTGCCCCGGCATGTTCCTCCTGCGATGGATGCAACCATGAACGAAACCAATGAAAATGACTTGATGCAATGGGCTCGGGAGCTCACCCTAACTGGAATTCCTATCGAGCTGCTGACCCAGGTGCTGCAGCTTGCCCATCCCCAAACCAAGATCTGCTCGGCGTCGCGCGACCTCTACGTCGTGGCCCAGTCCACTCTCGTCAAGCACACTTGGGTCCAGTACATTCTCGCCCGCAGCCCGCCGGACGGATGGGTGACACGGTACACGGACGATGCCAGGTTCTTTACTTCGAATAGCAGCGCGCTGCTCGAGTACGGGCACAGGGGCGATACCTGCCGGTTTGAACCCGGTCACCCTTCGTCCGACTGCGACATTTCGCTCTTCCTTGCCCTTCATGATTACATTCTCCCGATGGCATTGGTCGCCATGCGCACTTGCTCCACTGGGACCACCACGCTCTACGAAACGCTCAAGTCAACCATCGGCCAGTTCCGGCGCTGTCATCGCGCTTGCAAGACATCGCCCATCGAAACCTTGCTCCAGCTCCTGATTCTCGCAGCAATTCGACTCGACGCACCGTCCGTGACGCGCCTTTTTGCGACCACGGCGCGAGACTTGCCTCAAATCCTCCGCACCCGACTCCCGTTCCGCACGTGGATCAGCCTTACCGAACAAGGAACCGATTTGCTTCTCAAGCCCGCGCGCAAGTGGTTGGACGACATGACTGAGTCCCGTCCGCGACTCCTCGACTTTTTGGGCATCCTTGCCGTCTTCTTGTGGAGCTCGCCGACCCTGCTTGCCCTTCGCGACTTGCCAACGCTGGGACTCGACGCGCGCTGGCTCGCGGACACCTTTGACAATGACTTGCTCTCGACTATTCTCCTGGAGAGCGTTCCCACGGCCAAGGTCAGTAACAAAAAGGTCGAGGATATTGCTCTGACGCTCCAGTGGCTGTTCAACAACGCTTGGACTGACGGGTCCATCGTCTTCAACCGCTACCATCTTGTCGACTACCTCTTCCGATGCCCTGGACTTCTTCCGCTGCTTGACAACCTCGAGTCGAAGCGCATTTCGGCCAACATCTTCTCTTACGAATGCAGGCGTCTCACAACCCAGCTCGAAAAGGGACGCGTCTGCCTAGACACGGACGCGGTGGCCACTTTCCACAAACTTAAACTTCTTGACCTGTTCGGTTGGGTGCAGGTTGTCTTGTGTGCGCTTGATGAGCGAAACGGTGGACCGTCCAGCCCGCTCGCGACGCTCTCTGCGCAGCTGCTCGGCGACCGCTTTCAGGACGTTGTGGTTGAAGGTACGCAATTCTCAGATTTAGCGCACGACCATGGCGGGTTGCTGATTCACATTCGGAGCGATACTGTCTAGCTTTTGAACGTTGTGTCGAGCCAGATGAGGATTTGCCTTCGACGGCTGTCATCCTTGCCTTCATTCGCATGCAACGCCCAGATGAGGTCAATGATCTCATGCCCAAGCTTTCCTTGTCGCGTTTCAACATGGTCGGCGAGGATGAAGACGACATTTGCACCCATCACTCCAATTGCCCATACCCTCGCGCTTGCTTGACCTTGACGGACGTGTTTTCTCACGCCAGCAGCAATCTCAATTGGCTGTGGGACACGTTCCTCCTCGCCAATGCAACGGTTGCCCAGCTGTCTGAAGTGGCATGCGGGCCGCTCGCTTGGGTTCCTGTGGCCGTGCTGCAATGTTGTTCGCTGCGCGACAACGCGATTGCGAAGATCAAGGACCACGAAACTGCGTATTTGTTCCTCGGAGCGATGATTTGGGCGCAATCCACTGACCGGACCGGCCGCCACTACATTGCCAAGGCCGCCCCGTCCAGTTTCACCTGTGACACTTGTCCGCTGATGCGGCAGCGCGTGTGGTACACAACGATCCGCGAGATCCTCGAGCTTGGTCCAAACGTTCTGCGCCAGCTGCCCGTTCGTGCCCTCCGAGCTCTTGTCAAGGTGCTTTTCGACTACGACAACGACCTTGCTTACGTAGTTTCGCTTGGTCCAGATTCAGACCAGACACCGGAACCGTGTCTCTCGTCATGCGATGCCGTTTACCATCCATACGTCGAGCTGCTCCAAACTCTCATCCACGCCGACTTTGCCGCCCTGCTGGATCTGTTTCGCGACGAGATTGGTCCAAAGTCCTCGCTCCCCGTTTCCTTTTGGAGGGCGGTGCCCGACGGCGCGCTTGACAGCGTCAAGGACGCCTCCTGGATCGCGCAAGTGGCCATCCGCGCGATTCGGGACCGCGCGGCGCCCAGTAAGGTGGCCCACGAGCTCGCTCGTATCGCGCCCAAGACGGTCGCTTCGGACGAGTACGCCAGGGCCATGGTTGCGGCGGTCCACAACAAATCGGTTTGATTGAGACGCGGTTGCTTGGTGGAATCGTTTCTGTGATTTCAGTTATATCTTCCTCAATTTTCTCTTGCACGCGTATGCAACATACCTTTGTTTTATCCTACATTATTGATGAAATACTGATAGAGAAAATTGCATATGCAGCTCAAGTCGCGTTGCGCCACTTGCGTGGCACACATGCGGGCGGATCTTGGTCCTGCTCGCTCGTCTTCGTCCAATCAAATGCCCGATCACGTCGCGAAAGAATAAATTGTTCATTAATAGAACAATTCAAACACGTTTACGCTGAAATAAAGACTAGAAATGCGACAAGGAAGGGGATCGAGGGCTCAAGCGGGACGTGGTCGCTTGGGCCGCACACGTCGCCGAGGGCCTCGCATGATGTGTAGTCGGTCTCGCGGGCCGTGGGACCGTGCTCCTCGCGCCACAGAACAACGAGCTTGATCTCGGCCGAGAGAAGTTTTATGTCGTCGTGCTCCGTCTTAGCTGCATGTTGAGAGCGGGAGCTGCCTGCTGCTCGTGAGGTGAACGGAGCGCGCTGGCCTGAACGCGAATGGCAAGTGAGGTGACTCTTCTCCGCGATCACGCAGGGATGACCAACGCGTGACGGGCGCGTCGACCCACGGTTGACCGGCAACTGTGGTTTGCAGGAGCCAGGTATATTGCGAAACAGTTAAGCGGTCGACGAAGGAAATAGTAGTAAGGTTTTCATGGGCAAGGGACCGCGGCGAGCGGCTAGGCGTCATCAAGCAAGCATGTGCAGCACCAAATTCACCAACGAGGGCTGCCGCAAGGCGTTCTGGGCCGACCTCGCCCGCGCGCTGCGCGGCCACGTCGTTCTCATGGCCGCAACTTCTCGGGCTTCGGCATGATCTCCGCGGCCGACAAGGGCCCCGTGGTCGAGATGGTCAAGGAGCTGCGCTCGCGCGGCGTCACCGTGTACGCCGTTGACGAGAACTTCTTGAGCAAGTGGTGCGCCGCGTGCGCCATGGCCGACCCCGCCGCCGCCAAGGCCAACAAGACCAACCTGCTTGGCAAGAAGGACAAGAAGGTGTACCAGACGCGCGCGTGCCGTCGCTGCGGCGTCCGCGTGCAGCGCGACCGCAACGCGGCCGTCAACATCTCGTTCGCCATCAAGCAGCTCGTCTTCGAGGACCAGGCCAAGGACGCGGACGGCAACCCGCCGCCCGCCGCCCGCCCCAAGCACCGCTACCACCGCAAGTGCCGCACCACGCCCACGGTCGAGTAGTCCAAGCTGTCCTTTCTTCCTCCCTCTCTCCCTCTCCCCTACGGACACCGTATGTTGTATTGTGCAGGCGTACGTGCGTGCAGGCCTTGCTCCCAACATCCGATACTTGTGTGCTATTGGTGAGGTTGCATTGCTGATCGCTGCGGCCCGCAGCAGCGCAAACCCGCGAGATGTCCCTGCCCCTTGGGGCCGGATCACCCTTGCACGGCCTGGTGTTGGCTGGTGCCCCTATTTCTCCAACTTTTTTGTTGTTTGATTGTAAATATGCATCATACGATCAAGGAAAAGTAAAAGTAAGTACCACCAGGACCAGCTCCACCTCTCGCACAGCGGCTACCAAATCTACTACGGCAACGAACCGTTCAAGATCACGCTCCACGGCGACGGCGGGTACATCAACTGGTACTTCATCGGCAAGTGGGACCGCGACGGGAAGCACGTCAAGTTCAACCAGTGATTGCGCGTTCGTTCTGCAGCTCGTGCGAATTCTTTGCAGTCTCCCTTGCTTGTCGCGTCCTCGTCCTCATGTTCTATTTTCCCCTCCATCATGTTCTGCCCTTGTACAATCCACAACCGACGCGAGAATACAAAGCGAGTTGTATTTTTTACATTGCGAAGTCGTCGAGACTTGGACCAGCACTGGCGCGCCCGAAAAGCACAGGGCGTCCAACAAGAACAAGTGCGCTCTTGCAGCGAACCGTGATGTGAAGCGTGATGGAAGACCGCTCGGCGCGCCTGTCCCGACGACCGGATACAGCGACTGAACAGCAGTTCCGTTCGGCCTCAAATCGCTTGTGCGCAGCCGACACTCTCTTCGAAAAGTGTCGAGTCGATTAAAAACGCTTTACTAAACCACGATCTCGTCGCCGTGGTGTAGTCGGTTATCACGCCTCCCTTACAAGGAGTAGGTCCCCAGTTCGAACCTGGGCGGCGACATTTTGTCGTTTTGGGTCACTCGAGTCCGTCCGATACGATGTTCGCTCGCGCCAGATCGGGTTGCACCAAGTCCTGCTAGCCATTGATAGACCCGTTTCTTCGTTTTGAGCCGCGTCGTTGCGTGTGGCGCAGCGCGAGTGAGTCGCGTCGCGCCACTCCGCTCGCTCACGACGACTGACTAGCCAACATGGTGATATCACACAGAAACTACTAGGATACACTATTCTACTCATCTCGACACCTACTACTTCCCAACCTGCTTAACCACGGCGTCGCACCGGCCACACAGCGCGCCCTCGCTCGGCGCCCAGAAGTTCCAGCACCGCGGGCACTTGTGCTTCTTGGCGTTCCGCGCAACGACGGTAACACTCGCCTTAGCACCTCCCGCACTCGCCGCGGGGTCCCAGTTGCCGTCGCCGGGCGCGAGCGTGACCGCGTACTCTTCTTCCCCACCAACCTCGTTCGCGTCCGCGACCTCGACGCCGCTGACGACCGTGAGCTGCTGGACCGCGCGCTTGTACGTGTCGAGGAACGCGGCGGTGGCCGCGTGGGGCGCGGCGAGGACGAGCTCGGCCTCGAGCGACGACCGGATCCGCTTGTCGCGGCGCAGGCGCTCGAGGACCTGGTTGGCGGCGTCGCGCAGGCCGAGGAGCGGCGCGAGGTCGGCGGCGAGGGAGGGGGCGCGCCATTCGGCGGGTGCGGCGCGCCACGTGCGGCCCATGAAGTAGCCCGGGTGCGCGGAGCCGAGGACGGGCGACGCGTGCGTGTACACTTCTTCGGCGAGGAGGGGCAGGATCGGGGCGAACGACTGCACGTAGAACTCGAGAATCTACGAGTTGCACGCGCGCGAGTAGGTCAGCGACGGGTTCTGGGGCAGCTCGCGCGAAACCGCCGTACCTGAGCGAGCGTGTACTGCGCGGCGCGGCGGCTGGGCGAGTCGGCGGCCTCAGCGTAGAGGCGGTCCTTGAGCGACTCAAAGTACATGGCGGAGAGGGTGTTGTTGGTGAAGACGTTGAGCGTCTGGACCACGCGGTAGTACTGGTGCGCGTTGTACGCCGCGTGCACCGTGTCGGCCATGGCGGCGAGCTCGTGGAGCACGTAGCGGTCGAGGTCCTCGAGGTCCGCGTAGGCCACCACCGTGTCCCGCGAAAACCCGTCGAGGTTGCCGAGGAGGTACCGGCACGTGTTGCGGATCTTGCGCAGGCTCTCGGCGGTCGCCTGGAGCACCTTGGACCCGAGACTAATGTCGCGCGTGTACTCTGCGCCGCCGACCCACAGCCGCAGCCCGTCGACGCCGACGGGCGGCATCGCCTTCTTGTCGGCGCCGCCGTGGATGATGGTCGCGGGGCCAACCGTGTTGCCGATCGACTTGGACATTTTCTGCTTGTGCTCGTCGACGAGGAACCCGTGCGTGATAATCTTCTTGTACGGCGCGACGCCGCGCGTCGCGATACTCGTCAGCAGCGAGCTCTGGAACCACCCGCGGTGCTGGTCGCTGCCCTCGAGGTACACGTCGGCGACCGTGTTCTCGCCGAGCAGCGTCCACGAGGTCCCCGAGTCGAACCACACGTCCATGGTATCGGTGCCGCGCCGCCACTGCGTGGGATCGAGCCCGCTGCCGGGCGGGAGGAACGCAGCGACGGGGAGCGTCCACCACGCGTCGGCGCCGCCGTTCGCCTCGATGACGGCCGCGATATGCGCGACGCTTTCGGGCGTCATGAGGTGGTCGCCCGTCTCGACGTGGTACAGGACGGGGAGCGGGACGCCCCACGACCGCTGGCGCGAGATGCACCACTCGGACCGGCCGGCGACGTAGCTGCGGAGGCGCGAGCGGCCGGTATCGGGGACCGTGGTGACGGCGTCGCGCAGCGCGGCGAGCGCGGTATCGCGGACCGCGTCGATCCGCGCAAACCACTGCGGCGTGGCCCGCTGGATCACGGGCTTCTTGGCGCGCCAGTCGTACGGGTACTTGTGCACAAAGGAGTGCGCGTGCGCGAGCGCGGACGTCGACTGCAGGTACTCGATGACGCGGTGGGTGCCGTCGGTCAGGACGGGCGCGCCGACGAGGAACGCGGGGGCGTCGGCCGTGTACTTGCCGTAGTCGTCGACGGGCGACGCGATCTCGAGCCCGTGCTTCATGCCCGTGAGGTAGTCGTCCATGCCGTGGCCCGGCGCCGTGTGCACGAGCCCCGTCCCGCTGTCGGCCGTCACGTAGTCGGCGGCGACCACGGGGCAGGCGGCGCCAGTGAACGGGTGCGCGTAGGTCCACGACAGCAGGTCGCTGCCGGTGAAGCGGGCGACGATGGCGGCGTCGCGCGCGGCGGGGTCGACGGGCAAAAAGTCGAGCGCGGCGAGGCGATCGGCGCCCACGAGCCAGTGCTCGGTCGGGGAGACGCGGACGAGGACGTAGCTGAGGTCGCGGTGCACGGCGACGGCGCGGTTGGCGGGCAGCGTCCAGGGCGTGGTGGTCCAGATGAGGATGTTGGTGCCCTCGGGCACGCTGGCGTCGCCGGTAGCAGTCACGGCAAACTTGACGTAAACGGACTTGGACGTGTGCTCGTGGTACTCGAGCTCGGCCTCGGCGAGGGCGGTCTGGGTGGCGGGCGAGAAGTAGACGGGCTTGCGCTGGCGGTAGATGAGGCCGCGCTCGACCATCTTCTGGAACACGCGCAGCTGGCGCGCGACGTAGGCGGGCTCGAGCGTCTTGTAGGCCTTGGCCCAGTCGCCCATGATGGCAAACGACTGGAAGTCGGCGCGCTGCTTCTCGACCGTGGCGAGGGCGAGCTCGCGCGCCTTTTGCCGGATCGCGACGGGCGTGAGGGGCGGCTCCGCAGCGGCGTCCGCCGTGGACTTTTTCGCCTTCTTGGCCGCCTTGGCCGACTCCTGGAGCGCCTTGAGCTCAATGGGCAGGCCGTGGCAGTCCCAGCCGGGCACGTAGTGGACGCGCTTGCCCTGGAGCAGTTGCCAGCGCAGGACCATGTCCTTGAGGACCTTGTTGAGGGCGTGGCCGGCGTGCAGGTCGCCGTTGGCGTAGGGCGGACCGTCGTGCAGGATGAACTGCTCGGGCCGCAAAGCGGGCGACTCGGCGGCCTGCCACGCGTACAGCTCGTCGGTCGTGCGCTTCAGCAGCACCGGCCGCTGCGCTGCGTCGGGCCGCATCGCAAAGGACGTCTTGGGCAGACGCAGCGTGTCGGCGTACTCGCTCTTGGGCTTGGCCTCCTTGGCCTTGCCGGCCGCGGGAGCGGGCGCAGCGGCGGTGGAAGCGGCGGCAGCGAGGATCGGCGACGACGTGTGCAGCAGTTTCATGGTCGCCGAGACGACGGCGGCCGGGCGCGCGAGGCGTGCCGCGGCATTTGCAGCAAGGCCTGCGCGGCAGAGGCGTAGCATGGCAGCGGAATTCGTGGTGGGCGAGGGGAGAGCGCGAGCGGGGCCGGCTGCCGAGCTGTTTGGGCTCGGCCCAGGGCTCGGCCAGGGCTCGGCCCGCGGCCCATGTGACCGGCTGCAGCCGACCGCCGATGAGCGACGCGGCGCCCGCGTTGATTCTTCGCAACTGATCGCCCTGATCGCGTCAGCGGCCCTTGCGCCGGAGCCTACAAATGGCGCGGGCAGGGTTGCCGCCAGTCCGCGCTCCCTTATCCGCCCGCCCGCCATGAAGCACTTGCTCGCCACCGTCGTTGCCGCCCTCTTCTGCCTCGCGGCGCTCACCTCGGCCGCTCCCGCTCGCACGCAGCACCCGTCGTTTGCGCTCGACGAGACGCGGCACTGGTCCACCTCGACCGTCATCAAGTCTGCCGCGATCCCGCCGCCAGCCAAGATCGAGGGCTTCGTGCTCAACCGCAAGGGCGAGGTGCCCGCGGACGGCGGGGTGCAGGTGACGGCGTTCCTCGACCCGCTGTGCCCCGACTCGGCCGCCGTCTGGCCCGCGCTGGGCGATGCATCGGCCGAGCTCGCCGATCGCGCCGTGTTCCGCGCGGTCCTGTTCCCGCTCCCGTACGCTCACCGGGATAGCGGACTGACGTTGAGACTGACCCTCCCTCACAACCGTTCAGGTACCACCGCAACGCCTTTATCCTGAGCCAGGCCGCGCACGCGTGGCACGCTGCTCTCTCCAACGACGTCGACGACTCGCCCGTGAAGCCGCTGCTCGACCTCTACTTCTCCTCGATCGACGAGCTCGGCAGCCGCACCGACGCCGTCAGCGAGCTCGAGTACCGCGCGCGCCTGGTTGGGATCCTGCGCGAGCGGCTCCCCGCGCTCGCCGACCGCATCCCGGTCGACCAGTTCAAGGCCGCGCTCGCGCCGCAGTCGCCCGCCGACACGGCGGCGCGCCGCCACTTCAAGCACGCGGCGTACCACGGCGTCACGGGCACGCCGCAGGTCCTCGTCAACGGCGTGCTCGACCCGCGCGCCGACGAGATCGAGTCGGTGAGCGCGTGGCGCGCGTACCTCGACGGGCTCGGCGGTCGGTAGTCGCTGAGAGTGATAAATACGAGTCCCCGCGAGCAGAGGTTTTTGTGTGACTGCCCACTTGAGCGAACGTGAGGGTGAACGTGATCGGCCATCGCCGCGGTGCCGTCGGGGTCCAAAAGCGCGGAAATGTCTCGCGGGCCGCGCCACGTGATGGGCGGGAGACGCGTCGCGCTGCGATGCCGGCGCGCGCGCTCGGCCTCCATCGCCGCCGACAGTGGCACCTGCGCGAGGTCAGGACGACGAAGCGCCGCGCATCCCCCACCGCGCCGCGCCTCACACACATAGCCCGTGCGTGCGTCCGTGCCCACTCCGAGCGAGCACTGCACACGCGCCTCCGCCCGCCCCGCTCGCGACCCGCGCCACCGCAGCGACCGCGACCGAGTGCCTGCCAGGGGTGGTGGTGCTACGAGCTGTTGCGTCGGCCTGCTGCTGCCGTGTCATTCCGCCGCGAGCGTAGAGACGCGTCGCGCCACATTTTGTTCCGAAGCGCACGCGTCTCGCCGCGCCGCGCCCTTTCCGACCCGACCCCC